GCATCTCATATATTCCTGCCAGCCTGTAGCTTGACTTTTCACGCCCTATGTGGTATCTTCTCTTTTTTTATAAGGTGGGTTTTGCTCGATTGTCCAGGCTAGAGTACAATTTCTAGATCACAGCTCACTGCATCTTCAAACTCTTGGGCTCAAGAGATTCTCCTGCCTCAGCCTCCCAAGTAGCTGGGACCACAGGCATGCACCACCATACCTGGCTAATTTTTTTTTTCAATTTTTATTTGTAGAGTCCAGGTCTTCCTGTGTGGCCAAGGCTGGTCTTGAACTCCTGGCTACAAACAGTCCTCCTGCCTTGGCCTCCTAAAGTGTTAGGATTACAGGCATAAGTCATTGCCCAGCCCTAGTGGTGGTGTCTTTTGATGAACAGAAGCCCTTAATTTTAATATAGACCAATTTGTTTTTCTTTTTTTCTTTTTTGAGTTGGAGTCTTACTCTGTCGCCCATGCTGGAGTTCAGTGGTACACTCACAGCTACCATAGCCTCAACCTGTTGGGTTCAGGTGATCCTTTCCGCTTCAGCCTTCCAAATAGCTGGAACTACAGATACACACCACTATGCCTGGCTAATTTTTGTTTTATTGTAGAGACAAGGTCTCACTACGTGGCCCAGGCTGGTCTTGAATTCTTGGGCTCAAGTGATCCCCTCGCCTCGACCTCCCAAAGTGCTAGGATTAGCCGGGCTCGGTGGCTCAGCCTGTAATCCCTTTAGGAGGCTGAGGTGAGTGGATTGCTGAGCCCACGGGTTTGAGACCCGCCTGGGCAACTTGGCAAGACCTCATCTCTACAATAAATCAAAAATTAGCCGGGCGTGGTAGCGCGCGCCTGTAGTTCCAGCTAGTTGGAAGGCTGAGGCGGAAGGATCGCCGGTACCCAGCTGGTTGAGGCTGCGGTGGCCGGGAGCGGCCACTGCACTCCAGTCTGGGCGACAGAGTGAGACTCCAACGCAAAAAACAAACAAACAAACAACAACAACAACAACAAAAAGTGCTAGGATTACTGGCATGAGGCATTGCACTTGGCCTATTTGTTTTCTACTGAAGTAACATGGCTGCTTTGTCAAGAGTCAGGTGGTCACAGGCAGTGTGGGTCTGTTCTGGACTTTGTCTACTGCTGGATCGATCTGTGTTTCCAGCACGCTGTCTTGATTCCATCGGGGAGTCAGAGCAAATACCTAGTAGGATATAAATCATTTTAAATTTATGGAGACATTTCTCTGAGCCAGTGTGGGGTCTGTCTCAGTGGGTGTCCCATGTGCGCTGGGCAGTGTGTGTGTGGCTATGATCTGCAGGCGGCGCTGGGGCCCGTTGGGTGATGGGTGTGTCAAGGGTTCTGTGTCCTCCTGTTCTACTCTGCACGGCTGTCACGTCCCGAGAGGAGTGTTCAAGTCTCCCCTTGTGACTGTGGATGTGTCTGCTCGTCCTTTCGGCTCTGCTAATTTTCTCTGCAGTATTTTTAAGAATAGATCTAGGTTTTTGTGCATGTGATGAACTGTCCTCTTTATCACCCTAAAGTGTTGGGGTGGGTTTTTCCCTGGCGTACATGTCTTTACTTTTACTTTTCACCTATCTATGTGGTTATAGTCCATTTTGTTTAGGCCGCATGTAGTTGGGTCTTGCTGTTTTCTTTTTATCTGGTCTAACAATCTCTACCTTTTGATTGGAGTTTTAACTCCACTGGTAGCTCATATCATCGTCAATAGGGTTGGGTTTAAACTCCTGCCGTCTTGCAAATGGATTTCTGTTTGACGCCACTTGTTCTTCTCATTTCCCTGTCTTTATTTTGTTCTGGATTTAATTGAACATATACACATAAATAAACACTCAGCATTTATAAGTGGGATATATTTATTTATAATATATGTTGGTTTTGGTTTTTTTTTTGAGTTGGAGTCTCACTCTGTCGCCCAGACTGGAGTGCAGTGGCCGCTCCCGGCCACCGCAGCCTCGACCTGCTGGGCTCCAGCGATCCTTCCG